AGAGAGAGAGAGAGTGTGTGTTCAGGGAAAGAAGAACCACCTTCTGTGAAGTTACAAACAACATTTCGGCAACTGTTGAAGCCATCAGTCATTATTCGGGCTCGCCTACGAAGTGACTCAAGAATTTCCTTACTGCAAAGTCGTGAATTCTATTATTATTCTATGAAATTTTGAAAAAATATACATTCAAGCATTCATCATAAGAATACAATAGACATCAGCCTGAGGCACCCAAACTAAACAAACAACTTGTTTAAATCCATGTAGGCATGCATAGAGGTAGCTCAATCACTTCCGATGGTCATTCCTACTAGCCCATGAATTCTTCAATTGAAACTTAAGATTTCCGCTTTACATGCAGTTCTCCCTTTTTTCTTTTCTCAGACAGAAGTAAGTGGTCAAAACTTTACTATTGATTAAATTTGTATAGGGATAATGACCTTTTTCTAAAATAAATTTCCAATAAATGATTGAAAAATACAACTACAATGAGTTACAAGGATTACACTAGTTGTATGAAAGAAAAAATTTCAAAATTGGATAAATTTCCAATAAATAACTGAAAGATACAACTACAACGAGGTACAAGGATTACACAAGTCGTATGAAAGAAAAAATTTCAAAATTGGAAGTATACCTTTCTGCAGCAAATCTCATGAATGAGATATCTCCTGGTTTTGGGGGATTAACCATCAGACCCATCTGAAAATTGAAGAGACATTCAGTTTCAAGTACCAAATCCAATTAATGTAAAGCAGTCAGAGAGGCAGAGCAACATGTGCTTTAAAACGTTTTATGCACACACACATTGTGCAAACCTAGACATGCATGTGTATGCCAAGACATAACAGAGAGAGAGAGAGAGAGAGTTTAGCTATCAAATTTCAAACAATCCCTTTCATCTAAACAAAATAAAGAAATCGTACAATCTGCAGATGACATATGAACATATCTCTAGATGTACAATTCATAAATAATGTTTGCTGGGAGGAGAATGGCATTACAACTTACGAATATTTGTGCGGGAACATTAGGACTGAGTGATATGGATGAGATTTTGTACATCTCATCAACTGTCTGCACCACAAACAGAGAAAAGCGATAACAGTTTCAAAACTTCAGGACTTCTCACATAAAATGTAATCATACTAGTGTGTGTGTGTGTGTGTGAGAGAGAGAGAGAGAGAGAGAGAGAGAGAGATTTTGCACTCACTGAACATATTCACACGAGAACATGTTTATGCAACAGAATTCAAGAAGTTATAAAAACCTACATAATCTTTTGTAAGTTAAAAATAATTTTTATGATAGCAGCATAAACATGAATGATACTGTACGTGACAAGATATCACATAAATTAATAAATCAACACAAAAAAATATGAAATGAGTTATCAGCATCACTCATCAAAGAAAGAGGTAACATTAAACCTCTGGGGAAAGATTTGTCATTTCAAAGTATCCTCCACGTTGTCCGCATTCGCCCCAGTATCCCTTGGACACAGTGTGGTATGACACAAGCTGAACTTCCATGCTGATTGGGAGACCCATCTCCATCAGAATCTTGCACAATATTGGAAAAAACTCTATCAAGTTTGCTTGTATAGTCATCCATTGGAATAGCAGTAAATGAACAAACCATGTGGCAATGGTTTTATGTCTGTATACGCATGCCTCTATGTGGGTGTGTGTGTGGGTGTGTAGAGAAAGCGAGAGAGAAAGGCCTTAGCAAACAAGAAACATAGTTGAAAAGCCTTATTATCACAATTAAATCGTCTTTTCCCCATAGAACCAAGCTCATCATGCTTAATTATACCAACTTTTAAGTCATGGGCATAAAATCCACTTCAGCATTTAATGGAGAGAGAGAGAGAGAGAGAGAGAGAGAGAGAGAGAGATGACATACACAGATATTACCTTTTTAGCGCTTACAAAGGGGCGTTCATCCTGATATATATTCTGCTGATAAACTTCGTCTGCAAGAAGAGCTAAATTCTCTACATAACAGAACTCCAAGATTTCTCTAATATTGGCTGCACTCAGACATTGACCTGTTGGGTTGCCTGGATTTATAATTACCATAGCTCGCACCTGAAATCCCCCCAAAGAAAAGGTTATGAGTGACAATAGGGTTGGATGAAGATAAATGCACCTGATTTTTACATGCATACATATGATGTTGGAATTGCAGAACTAGATCAACACTACATTGGAAAAAGGACAAAGGCCTTGAAACATTGGATGTCCACAAATGCTGTATCTATGGCCTTTCTTTTAAGAAACAAGTTTTGTAACTAAGTTATTGCAATAATCTCACCATGTATTAACTGGGAGAGGTTTAAATCATGAGGGACACAATTTTTTCTTTATTTTACTAGATACACATTCATAATTTGGTTTGGTAGGTGCTATTTTAATTGGACATTAAAGGAAACAGTTTCTCTCGTATTTTAATGTGAAAGTAAAGGAATGAGATTTTTTCCTTATTTTCAAGAAATTAGATATAAAAATTGAGGAGGAAGAAGAGACTAAAGTGGCAGAGATATAAGAGAAGGGTTTTGCTCCTATCTTATGGGATTATATAGATGGCAGTATTAAATAGAGTGATGAAATTGTGAGATAGAAAAATTAGATTAGCTTTCTAGAAAATTGACAATTATGCTTCTTTAAGAGAAAATACACTTGTGACCCTTTCCAATTAAGGATTACTTTTAGGAAAAAATTTTTAATGAAGGACAATACCATCCATTTTTAGTTAGACAAGCTTGTTTTCTACTTATCTTCTAAAAATAGTTAAAAGCCAATTTTCACTATTATAAATCACATGAAAATTGAAGAAAAAGAGAAAGCTTTGAAGCTCTACAATACACAGATGCATACTACTTGTGAAATAAGGGAGTCCTGTAAGTTGAAAGCTACCATGGATACCCATTCCAGGCAAGCACATCATCCACTTCACTTAGAATACATAGGGAAAATAATAAAGGTGAATTTGCTGAAAGCTACTGTGGATACCCATTCCAAGCAAACACATCATCCTCTACCAACATGTGTGTCATGGTTATTTAGCCAGTAAAGAATCAAAGTTATTATCAAACCTAATCTTAGAGCATTGTAGTTCAATGTTTGATGTAGAAAGAATTTCACACGAAAGAAAATCAAATAATATATTGATTGAAAAATTAAATAAGGCGTCTACAAGCCATGCTTCAATGGCTCTGCACTGGTTAAAACAAAATAAGATCTCAAAACTTAACTCTCTTATAAATTCTCTATATGGACCCCTATTTATAATAAAAGACCTTGCTTAAAGGTGAAGAAATCCTATTTCTAGTTAAATAGAAGTCTTAATTAAAACAAAATTTGTAATGACATTTTGACCCGTGATTAAACAACATACTTCACAAGTACTCTAGCTTCTATTCTAAATCATCATCATATGAGCCTTATCCCAACTAACTACTTTTCTAAGCAACTTCTAAAATCCTAAAAATATAAAAACACCCTAGGATCCCTTAAAAAAAATTAAAACACGAAAAAATAAAAAATATCTCCCTAAAACTTAGTAAGAAAAATTAAAAAATAAGAGGCATCTTATCTTGCATCAGACTCCCCTGGTTGGCAAATACTTGCCCTCAAGTTTTGAAGTAGGCTAAGATGAAATTTGCATTAATCCTGCAACCTTTTTCAACCCAAACATTATGCTTCGAATCCTTGGACCTGTGGGTTATTAGCTCAATCAAAATACTACGATTATGTATTGAGAACGGGTCTTTGAAATCAGCAAGCAAATAAACCCTTTTGAGAGCACCTTGAGGAAAAGGTCATTACATGTCGATAGAGTTTGTTCTGCCACACAAATTTGTTGGATTTCCCTCAATTTAGCAACATCAACTTATCAAAATTGCCTCAGTTCAGCCCTAGAACAGACCAAGGTGCATCTTCGAGATGAGTACTAGATTCGTCGTCGAATCAACAACTTCACCTCTTGATTCTCCTTGGAGCCCTTCATTTTCTTTTTGCTCAAAGATCGTTTCAACCACGAAATTTTGTACACAATTGTAGATCCAGTATCCTTTAAGATCTTATTCTTCATCTGAGCTTATGTTGAAGATTGGTGTTGAATCCTAGTCTAAAACCTGCTGATTTTGACAACTGGATAAAAATAAAAGTTCTCCACGGTCTGCCTCCTTAATGTCATGAACTAAATTGTACTCACAAGCAGCGTGATTACCTCTTATGGTTATGAGTCAAATTATGCTTGTCAAATCAGAATTTACCATCAAATCGAAAACCCTGTAGTGATGTCCTCCACGTCTAGGTCCTCTATCACCTTCTTCTTCACTCGCTTCCTCATGTGGGCCATGAAAAGAGTTCTAATCAACATCTTCATGGGCAAAAGATCACCATCTCGCCCATGAGTGACACCCACGAGTTGTTGTGCTAACTATTGAACTTGCCCTTTTGAGGTTTGAAATATCTTCATCTTGGGCACCACATAGTAGATCTATGAGAGTTCCCCTTCCATGTTTGCCATAGGTTTGCCAATATCACAAATCCTTGGCAGAGAATAAAACACCTTAGTCTGAAATCCGTGAATTCTAGGCTAAAATCAATAATCTTTGGGCTGAAATGAACAAATTTTTTGCTGCAATCATCACACCTTGGCCTAAATTCAGCGAACCATAGACTTGATCAAAGATTCCCACCCCTGCTGACCACGAGTCCTTGGGTCTAATACCAATTGATGCCAAAAGAATTTTGCAGGGAAGAAAATCAAATAGTCTATTGATTGGAAAATAAAGAGGAAGAATACAAGCTAGGATTCAATGCTTCACACTGGTCAATAAGATTTCAAACCTCAACTCTCTTCTAAATTTTCTACACAGACCCCTATTTATAATAGAAGACCTTACTTAGAGACCAAGAAATCCTAATTCTTATTAAAATAAAATTCCTAATTAAAACAAAAATTGTAATGCTATTTTTCCTCATGATAAACAACATATTCCATAAGCACTCTAACTGCTTTTCTAAACAACTTCTAAAATCCTAAAAACATAAAAGAAAGCCCAAGAATCGCTAAAAAGACTTTAAAATCTTAAATATAATATCACAAGTTTCAAAAATACATCCTTCAATTTTAATAAGAAAAACTCAAAAGTAAGAGACATCTAGTCCTACAATTTTTTTTTTTTTTTTGTTTGAATATGTTAACTGTATTAAACTTAAAAGGAGTACAGAAAGTATGAAGCGAGGGGGCAGGATACCCACAGATGGGTTCCGCCCAAAAAAAAGGCGACCCACAAACGGGTGCCCTGTGCAAAACCATAGATATGTCAAAAAAGCTTTACATGAATCGAGCCAATATATCGATTCCAATCTGTGATAGGAGACCAAGCAAAGGTTCCCTAGAGGTGTCTAAGGTTGGCATTAGACAAGGTTGCGTCTGCCTTTGCCAGAGAATTAGCCTCACCATTTGCTTCTCTCCAAACGTGATTCCACGAGATGTGTAGATTCCTTGTGAGATAACAGATTTCTTCGAAGATACTGTCCAGGGCAATGTCTGAGGCCCAGGCTATAACACTGTAAGGGTTGCCTTCAATGGTAACATACTGCCGCCAGGTAGTATCTAACTTCCTGAGGCCTTCCAGGAGGACAGAGGCCTCCACAATAGTTGAATCAGAGACACCAATCCAAATATGGACATCACCACCATAGACACCATGAACTAAAATTACCAACAACTAGCCATACGCAGCACAACACGACTGTGACATTGGAGTATGAAAACAGAAAAAATAAAAGTTAAGTAGACTAAGCTTTATTGTCCAAAACTGTCCAACAATTTACAAGTAGCCAGATAAAAATGGGACTAAGACTTGCTGCCAATATCCAAATATCTGCACAATCTTCATGATAATGAGATTGTAGTATGAAAGAAGACATTTTGAGTAGAACAATAATCATCACATAAGGCAATAAACCAGAAAAAGCTAACTTTTGTAACAGTTGAAAAATATAAGCTCATGGGATTTGACAATGCATTTTTATAATTCCTTTGTCAAACTAAATATTCCAACCAACAAGAATGTAGTTGGAAAATCTCTTCTTACAAAAATGATTAAGGAAAACCCAGAAAGCCACAAATCTTGTTGATTGTAGAAGGTGCATTCAAGGTATTGATTGATCCAAGGGTAATTAAATTGAGAAACAGTTTTGAGCTAATAGTCTAAAAAAATTGGAAGCACTCTTACAAGACCAGAAAGGATTCAAGGAGAAGGATAAGATAAAAGAAGACATCCTCACTTCAATTCCTTTCGATCGGGCCTCACTTATTGACTGGCGTAGGTTTTTTATGTCAAGACCCCAATTCGCAGACTCTTCAAGGTAGTATGGAACAAGAGAACCACCATATAAAGCTATTGTAGCTGAGTATAGTGGATATTGTGGAACTGGAACTAAGATCTGCACGAAAATTGTCATCAGGAATCAATTAAGAGCCAAACTATGGAAGAGAAAAAATTGCTTTCGGACAGAGAAACAATAAAAAAAAGCTAAAACTATAATCCAGTCACTAAAGTACAGGTCATCATTTCAGGATTTTTACAAGGATATATGTACCGAATTCACAGCACCAGTACTTGTGCATGTTGTGTGAGTGTTTATGTGTATGTGTGTGTGAGAGAGAGAGAGAGAGAAAGAGAGAGAGAGAGCGAGAGAGAGAGAGAGAGACTTGTTGCAGTTAAGCATTAAGAGAAGAAAAAACATGCATTTTGCCATGATTTGAGCTTGCCTTGAATATTTTAGCATTCAAAAATATTATTTAGCAATGGTATAATAACACCAAATGTGAAACAATTGTCCACTGAATTTCTCCAATGCATTTCAACTTTTGTGACTCTTTCGACTTGCTAGCTTAAACCATCTTACTTGTGTACAAATATCATACTTAATTATGTAAACATATAAAGTTATTAAGCCATGACCTGAATGACTCAAATTGATACAGATTTACACAAGTTGCAAGCAAACTCCACAGAATTACTCTTTTGAGTTGCCACTAAGTCACGAGTCCGCAACCTATGGTGCAAAGTATTCCTTTGTTTTAATATAAACATGCTGCAAAATATACAAGAAGGAAAATAGGGAATTTATACAAGGAATTCATTTTTACTTTTAATGGTTATGTTCGTATGAGAGGCTTCACCATATATAGAATGGCCCTAACAATCTTGAACTCCTATACTTCTTGCGAAATAATAATCCAAGTCGATAAGTCAATAACACCAAATATACTGGCATAGAAGTAATACTTATGCAAGCGAAAGCCACCTTACTGAATAAGGCAAATAAGAAATCAATACAGTGCTGCTGTGCCCTGAATCTAGAGATCTAGATGTAAAAGTAAAACCTATCTACACAAGTGCCACCTTTCTAACTAATGTTAAGAAATAAATGCAGAAGTGTGGAACGCAGCTGCTGTGTCCTGCATATGAAGGCATGATTCTAGAGCAAAATCATGAAGTACATTAAGGCCCCAGTTGGATGGCTTTTACAATTCCACTGAGGAAGGTGGTCATTTATCAATATGTGAAAAACAGGTTTTTTCAGATGTTGTGGACATTTTGGCAGTGTTTTGTAATAAGCAGGGGTACAAAAGATACTCATCAGTGAAAAGTGGAGTGGACCAAGGAAAGCAATTCTTCACTACTAATTAGGAAAAGGAATGAATGTCGCGATTTATTATTAAATGGTCCATCCAAATAGAGCCTAATCATGTAGTACATAATCTTGACATCAAATCAGAATGGCAATACTGTTGTAGGGTATTTTTGACGCACTTGCATCCCTAACACGAATAAAGGAGGATCCAATGGTAACCTAAACCCACAGGTACCCAAAATGCCTAAGGACTTCGGAAGCCCTGACTAAATAAGCCTAATTTTAGAAGAATTCCAAAAGGTGCTAGATTGACCTCAAAAAGCATGAGAAGGTAGCGTTTGATGACCCAAAGATGCCTGCCAAGTTTCGTCCCAATCCAATAAAGATAAGACAGGTCAATATGAAAATTACATTTCATAGTGCCACTTTCTAACATGTTGAAAAGTACATCATAACTGGAGCTATATTGTCAAGGTCTCAAATGAGCACCAGACCACTACCATTGGATTCAAAAGGCCAAACAAACCCCAAATATCAATTTTCAGCTTACTTGGACACTTTTGGACCATTTTAAGCCCAACTTATCCAAAATAGGAAGGTTTTACACTATTTTTGTGCAGCCTCAATGAACCAGTTCCCATAAATGGATATGCAAACTGTGTTTCTTGAAAATGGGAATTGTTTGGGAGGGCATAACTTCTTCACCTTGAACCCAGTTGCGCCCAAATTTCAGATGTCGTGTGTCTCATCAATGCACACTTTTTGATATATGGGATGCATGGTAAGGGCTCCCAGATGGGGAGAAATCTTAGAGAGATGTTGCTTGAAAAACATGAAAATGCAGAATTTTTGAGGCATGAGGTCCTCTTACTCCCATGGCCATTCCTTAAAGCCCCGATGTCAGATAGGCCCATGAATGAGTCCATTGCGACCGTGACTCGAAGGGCATCAATTTGAGGTATGATTTGCATGGGATTGAGGTCAGGAAGGTACCTGATTTGAGTTCGCAAGAAGGCATATTTTCTGGTCACCAGAATCCCATTTTCTTGTTGTTGGAATCCCAGTTTCGGTGACCTTCAAAATTAGAAAAGTGATCCTCCGATCTCCAAATCGGGGAGTTTTCGTTGCAAAATGGTCACAACGATTTTCCCTTGGATTCGTGATAAAGAAAGTGACAAAAAACATGGCAAAATGAGCAAGATCGAATAAGCGAAATTTCAAGAATATGGGTTTGGCTGTATTTTGGGATCAACCTCAAAAATTTGATTCAAGCTCAATAAGGGATACCAAATCACTCATCTCAAGACGACCATAATTTCTATGATGATTGATTGTCCAAAATGTCACCGTAGAGCACTGAAAAAGGCCTCGAGGCATGGCTATGGCAAGAGGCCCCTTTTGAAGGGATAGTTTTGTCATTTCCATGATTCTGGCCAAGGGCAAAATGGTCATAATGCACAAAAACAGGATTGATTATTTTATTCATTTTAATGTCTTTCTTTAGCAATTTTATTGTCTTTTGGCCATCCACCCTTGTTTTGTGGAGATCACATATAAGTACTTTATGTCATTTTGTAACCCTAAGCTTCCTAAGTTGGAAAGTTGATAAAAAAAATCATAAGCTTTGCCCCTTTGAGCTTGAGTTACTTTCTTACTTCAAGAGAGAGGAGAGAGAAATATTTTGCTAGTGAGAGAATACCCTTGGACCACCCTAACCCAACTTTGGACCACACTACCCATACTACTCTAACCCTAGACCGTAGACCACACTAACCATACTCCATACCACTTATACTCTCCCAACCATAATCCATATTCCCATTACCATAAGTAATAGTCTAGCTTAAATCATAGTCCTTAGATCACCTTACCCAACCCAAACCATCTATACACCCTAGCTTAATCCATCCAAGCTAGTCTACACCCTAGCCTTTGCCCAGAAGACTCAAGTTTCTCAAGAGCATTCAAGGAACCGTGGGAGCATACCTAACCGGCGGGTTCAAGCCACTACCTCACCCATCTAGGTACCCGATCTACCTCTCTTCTCTCTCTTCTTTCTCTTTTATTCTCTTCTCTTCCTCTCTCTCTCCTCTCTCCCCCTTCTTTTCTCTCAATCTATCCTCTCTCCTTTCTTTCTTCTCCTCTCTCCCTTCTTTCTTCTCCTCTCTCTCTCTCTCTCCTCCTTCTCCCTCCTTTCTCTCTCTTGCCCTCCATCTAGGCCGGCGGCCATCCCTCTCTCCCCCTATCTCTCTCCCTCTCGTCTGGATAAGTAGCCAGGCAGCCATCCCGACCCTCTCCCCCTCTCTTCTCTCTCTTTCCTCTCCCTCTCTCTCTCCCTCTTTCCCTATCTCTCCCTCTCTCGTCCAGACATGTAGCTAGGCCGCTGGCGCGACCCTCTCCTCTCCCTCTCTCTCTCCGCTTAATCTGGACCAGCGACCAAGCCGTCGGCCTGACCCCTTCCCCTACTCTTCTATCTTTTCACTCCCTCTCTCTCTCCTCTCAATCTGAACCGACAGCCTGACTGTCGGCTCGACCCTTTCCCCCTCTCTCCTCTCCTTCCTCTTCCCCTCTCTCTC